CGCTAATCTCATGAACTACTGGTCCGATTTAAAAAATTCTTTCAGTGTTAGATAGCCCATTTATCGAGGAAGGCTATAGGCTATATATCATCACGCTAAGACCAATAGGAGCGGAGCACCAATGAAGAATGTTTAAAAAACGGAGAAAATTTATTACTATTGAGAGACGCAGACGAAGTTGCGCGGGTCAGCTAGTAGTTTATAAACTATAAACATGTTTCACATATATTTGCTGAGTGTTGTCTTACTTACAAGTTGCCACGACATGGTAAGGGACAGTTACATCTAAGATTATACAATGTCTATAACAATATCTATAATCTATATCTATACAAATAAATAAAATTGGAGTGTCTGTTTGTAATATTAAAATAACCGCTTTTTACTAAATGCATATGCATGTTTACACGGTACATATGGCAAAATAACATTTTTTTCAATTTTTGTCTGTCTGTCTGTCTGTTTGTTCCGGGTAATCTCTGGAACGGCTATACCGATTTCGACGGAACTTTCACTGGCAGATAGCTGATGACATAAGGAGTAACTTAGGCTACTTTTTTTAGACTAGCTTCGCCCCGCGGCGTTGCCTCAGCTAGTATATAATATACAAAACATACAGAATATCAGTGATGCATTTAAAGGGGTCTAAGAAGGTCTAAATGATGCAATAACTTTGCTTTTAAATTCTCGTATCGTTCAAATAACCGTGTGAGCATGAAAAAACCCTTTTATTTTGACATTACAAACTTCAAATTTATTTATTTATATAGATGTATAGAAGATATCGTGTTTCCAACTTTGAAAGGTGACAAACTTACATACAACTTTTCATCATTTATTTTACCTCCTTAGGGGTGTAATTTCCAGAAATCCTTTCTTATTGAGTACTTACAACATAAAAAGCATCAGATGCCAAAATTTTAGGTTTGTTGCCCCACCGGTTTAGGCTCTGCGTTGATGAATGAGTCTTGATTTATATGTATCGATATAATATGTATATTTTTTTTTTAAAGACAACTCCCACACTAGGAATAAATCCTGTGTCGCGGGAGACTTTACAAACATACATGAAACGGACACAAAGTACACCAAGACTCAGAACAACAATTTGTGGATCACACAAAGTAATAGGAAGCGGCGTGGCAACCGCTTAAACCATTACGCCATCCGTGCAGTCACGTGTTACACCCTTTTTTTGTTTTTTTTTTTCCGTGAGGAAATCCTCTCGGATACCACCTGTCAGTGGCATGTCGGACTAGAACCGACTAAAACCGCACGCCGTTTCGGGTACTAATAGCCGGGGAACCAGGTATATATATATATACATTCACGACTCTAATTGACAAACGCGTACTGACAGATGCGAAACTGAAAATTTTATTTATTTGTATAGAATATAGAATAAATAGGATTTTATACAATGACGTGTCGCTACTGATAAACAGAAAAGTCAATTACAAATATCTTATCTGTAAAAATATAAATATATAGTATAAAAAACACTAAGATAACATGTCTTCATTGTATCCAAACCATTTTATACCTGTCCTACAAAGATAAGCTGTATATAGAGCCTGATTTTGTTTGATCGTAAAAATATACATAAGTCATTGTGATCTCCAAAACACAATATATTAATATATATATTCTACCACATACACACAACGCCATCTAGTCCCAAACTAAGCAGAGCTTGTACTATGGGTACTAGACAACTGATATAAATACATATATACTTTTTTTTGTAAATACATACATAATTATACATAGAAACGCCCAGACCAAATCAAACATCAAATGTTCATGCACACAAATGTTTGACTTGAGCGGGAATCGAACCCGCGACCTTTGGAATAGCAGTCCGTTGCACAAACCACTACGCCATCCAGTCGTCTAACTAATAGGACTAACTACTAATACATAAAACTAATTAAAATCTACTAATTACCTAAGTACAATATAAAAACATTTAAAGGCGCCACAAATATTTATAAGTTTGATAAAAAACTTAATTAATTAATTTATACAAATAAATAAAATGTTTTTCATATATAACTTGAAGTTAATTTGTTACAAAAATTAAAATAAATTAAGTTAAAATATTTACAACATTTACACTATTTACTCCGCATAATCGCCTACTAGCCAAAACCTCCTTTCTAAGGAGAGGTCTATGTCCAGCAGTGGTCTATTAAAGGCTGTTGATGATGATCGCCTACTGGTAGCGTTCCCAGAAGTCTGGCAGCATTGCTTGTATGTAAATAGTGTAAATGTTGTAAATATTCTAACTTAATTAATTTTTATTCTTAATTTCATTCATCAATAGCCTTTAATAATCCGCTTTTGGACATAGGCCTCTCCTTAGAAAGGAGGTTTTGGCCTGCTATACCACGCTGGCCCGACGGGTTGGTATAGGGTTTTGTTTCAAGATAACCTTCTCTCTGCAGTGCTGGTGATCTGCGTAGTTTGCTCCCTTAGTCGGCTTTTACGACACCCACGGGATGAATAGAGGTGGTGACACTCTGTATTCTTAATCCGTCACCACACGGAGAACACTTAATTTCATTAATATTTTGTAATGTCAAAATAATATGGTTTTTTCATGCTCACAGACATATTTGCACGATACCTATGCTTAAAAACCAGTTTAAATATGTTTTGTCTGTCTGTCTGTTTTGGTAGTAAGTAGGTTATAACTTAGTCAATGTTTTCTCTCAGAAAAACCCTATAAAATTGTCGAATCCTTCCTCGAATCGAACCCGCTAAGGCAGCCCGTTTCAAATCGAACGAAGTCCCGGGCACCAGCTAGTGAGCATATAAACAACATTGCACCTAATTACGTAGGTACGAAAGTCGTGTACTGATAACTGATAAAACCTAAAGTGAAATTGCCGATGAGACGGCTGATTGCCCCCCTCAATATCTTATCAATAGAATGGTCTCATATTTACGATGTAAATGGATAATGCTTGTCTGTATTACCTCGTTTATTACAATACCCGCTTCATGTGGTCTATTGGATGGCAGAAATTTTCCGATCACCTCTAGATAAAATATGTAGGACGTACGTACATACAAAGAGATTATTCATAGTCCTGTGTCTCTGTTTGAATATAACAGCCATTGGTTTGATAGCTAAACTATTCATGAAATTGATATGAGAACGGATAACGCTTAATTATCAATGATAAACGGATGGCGCTTAAACCACTAGGTATAAGCGGTCGCCACGCCGCTTCCTACTACGCCGAGTGTTGTAGGTTCAAACGCCACATGGGACGACACTTTGTGTGATCCACAAATTGTTGTTCTGAGTCTGGGTGTTCTTTGTGTCCGTTTCATGTATGTTTGTAAAGTCCCCCGCGACATAGGACATATTCCTTCTGCGGGAGTTGTCTTTTTAAAAAATAAGAAAAAAAGAAGTGTAATTTCCGGGGCAAAAGGGGCCGGCTTGATCGGAGTGACGTCAGGGCCTCACAGAAAACCGGTGTTAGCAATTCGTTTGTTGTTTTCCACCGAGTGAGTGAAGTGACCGGAGTAGTAGGTACTAATAATTCATATATTTTGCCACATCATAGTATGATTCAGGAGTTAAAGGAAAACAATAAAACCTAAAGTAACCACAATGGTTATATGTTGAACGAAGCAACATTTCTTTAGTTACTTACTGCGGTTTCAAAATGACATAATGTATGAATGAATTAAATAAAATTAAAGGGAAAAACTGTTTAAAAACAACCTTTTCTGAGTTATTCTCAGCAAGCCCTTTCATTTAAAACCCATATTGTAGGAGTGCATTAAAAATACCTAGTCCGCCATCTTGGGTGTTCCGCCATGTTGGATTTAGAATGACGTCATACATCTAACCATGCATTGTCATCCAAACTAAACGTGTACACAAAATTTCAACTCAATCGGTTGAAGATATCTGCATTAAAATTAAGTTGCAAGATTCCACCCGAACAAACATACATACAAGTTAATGAAATTTAAAATAGGTACCTTCTTGTCATACATGCATACACTCACCCCTCATCCCCGACCAGGTTAGGCAGAGACGAGAACACAGCTGTCCTGATATACATCTCGCGTTTCTTATCCATTCATCACGCCTTTCAGACACGCTCGGCGGTTACAGGTATTTTTAACGAGCCGTTTCTTCAGTACACTGCCAATCTGGTCAGTATGTCCTTCGGAACCTGCCTGGACCGGCTTTTATAGACTCGCCTCATGAGAAGAGATTGCGTAACACTATACACGGTTTTACGACAGTTTTGTAGGCCAGGTGGGGTGACGATTTGCGCGAGATAGCTGGCAGGAGCTGGATGCGAGAAGCCCTAAATCGACCTAAGGGAAGTGGCCTATGTCCAGCAGTGGACTGCGATAGGCTGATAATGATGATGATGATGATACACGGTTTTCAATATTGTTGAGGTTTAATTGGATGTAGAATAATTTTTTATTGTCATCCAATTTTTCGATCTGTAACACCGGTTTTTCCTACCGCAGACATTAGTCTGTCACAAAGGAATAATATATATGTAGTTTGAGAGTTCTGTATCTGTATTTCATAAGTTGTACCTACCTTTGTGATGAGAGAAATAAATCCAATATTATTATTAACTAAGAAAACCATGCATACCAAATTATTTATTTTTCCCTCCTTTTCTTTACTTTACTAACATTCATGTAACCGACATAAAGAACACCCAGACTCAGAACAGCATATTGTGTAGATCGCACAAATTTTTGTCCCATGTGGAGATCGAACCCACAACACTCAGCGTACTGGCAGGGAGGTGACCGCTTAAACCACAACGCTATCAGTCTTTATTGAAGCTTGGATTAAATACTTCTGATAAATTAGTAATCTTTAGGGAAATCCAATTATTTGTTTATTGTTATGCTTATGAAACAGCCGATAACATAACGTCCTACTCTTAAGGTTTAAATTTGCTTAACTTGCAATATTTTTTAACAGATATTTTGTATTGTTACAGATAGCACAACACCCGCAATATTTGGACATAAACAGCACCATCACCGATCACAAGAACCACAGATTCAATAAAACTAAAGAACATAGACTAAAAAGTCCGTAAGACTTAAAACTGCGTGTGATATTAATTAAAAAAAAAAGTATTTATTCTGACTGCATTTAGAATTTAGAACGCTATTTAAAAAGCCCACCATATAATACTAGCCATAGATTAAGAATCACATACCAGAGACAAGCTTAGAAAAAGCTGGAAGCGAGGAGGTTTTATGTGATAAAAGAAGAATATAAAATGAAAGATACTATGAAATCTTGCCAACACACGTTGTCAGACGACGTGCTGTACAAAGAAGTTGTTGTCATTGGTAAGTGTATTTAATTTTTACCTCTTCTAGTTCCTAAGGCTATATTTTTTGAGATAAATCTTAGACGAAACTCATGCTAAGCTAATTCGATACCTATATTTGAGTGATTCAGGAGCTGGATGCGAGAAGCCCAAAATCGATCTAAGTGGCGTGCAATGGGAGAGGCCTTTGTCCAGCAGTGGACTGCTTTAGGCTGATGGTGATGATTTCGACCATAGATTTCAATTTCACTAACGTCATATGTGTTTTGGCATAGCCAGACTGGTTTTAGGCCCTTTATCCTGAAGCTAATCGCATCCCATCGTGTCATTAAAGTACTCCATTAGTCAATTCTCGAACTGCAATTGTTTCAACATTAAGAAGAGACCTGTTAATATTAATCCTGACATTTGACAAGCACATGAAGCAAAGCGACCCTCGAATACTTTTTCTTCATAGCCGTCTATAGTCCAGATGTGCTTCATACTCTTTAATTGTATACTTGTAAAGTTGGAACGTCACGGCAATTTCCATATAGCCATAGGCCATGCCATAGGGCGGGAATATTACAGTGTGAGTAAGCTTGACAACGATATTTCCTTATCAGCTGTCTCTGATTGTCAACTCTTATCAATAATGTCGTATGAACCTCTGAGGGGTAACGGACATGTGCTATAACCACAGTAACCTTCTACCAAATAACGAAGTCAAACCATGCCCATACTGCAAGCAAAATATTTAGAAGTTACCTATTGTGATGTTTGGAAACCACTATGAGTATTTGCCTGGCCGAAGTAAAGGCAAGGTTGTGTTTCGGAGTCGAACTTACAAAAACCTCATGGTGTTCTGTCACAAAGTCTGTTATTACCGTGGTCTCGGCTGTACTACTAGGAAGGAAATCCTTGGTTACCTTGGCAGAAGACGGAACCATCTATTATTGCTAAAGCTAATGTTTTTAGTTTATTCCTGATGTCTAGACTAAAACCGGAGCCTAATATTTGTTCTTCTAAAGTTCAGGCACGAACCTCAATAAAAAAAAACTTATAAATATGTTTTAGTTCAAATTGTTACTATTGCATGTAATACCCAAAACATTCTGATAATTCGTCTCCAAGTATTTCACGATTTCAGTTCAATTTTGTTCAATGAACCTCTTGGCCTAAGTTATTCTTTATGTAGACAGCTACCTGGTAGTAAAATATTATCAAAATCGGTCCAGCCGTTTAGAAGATTACCCGGAACAAACAGACAGACAGACAGACAAAAAAAAAATTCAACTGGTTTTTACGCATAGGTATCGTGCAAATATGTGTGTGAGCATGAAAAAAGCCTATAATTTTGACATTACAAACAGACACTTCAATTTTATTTATATGTATAGATGATAAAATGGAATAGAAATTAAAAATCTAATCGACCTATGATTGACATAAAATTTTAACTTTGCAAAAGGCTAGGAGAATCAATTTCATTCGAAATAGTTTTCAAAAGTTTGTCCATGTGGTGACGGATTAAGAATACAGAGTGTCACCACCCCTATTCATCCCGTAGGTGTCGTAAGAGCCGACCAAGGGAAAACTACGCAGAACAACAGCACTGCGGTAGAAGGACAACTTGACACAAACCCTACACCAACCCGTCTGGCCAACATGGTATAGTAGGCCAAAACCTCCTTTCTAAGGAGAGGCCAGTGTCCAGCAGTGGACTATTAAAGGCTGTTGATGGAGTCAAAATAAAAGAACAATCAGCGAATCGACGTCGATTTTTCGAGGTGACCGTGATTCTTACTCAACCAATAGATAAATAAATAAACTCCTACAAAGGCGTACTTGATCGAATTGAATGAGAATAACAATCAGGTTCATCATTTATGTCAATATATCGTGTCAACAAAATGTGTGTCTGGAAAATTCCTCCGCGTAGACACAGACCGTCTCAATTCCGTCCAGACAGACCAATTGACCCTGTGTCACTTGTATCTGTGTATGTATACAACCATCTATCGCGTTAGTGATTATTTTGATATCATATTTTCTTATGCCCCAGAATCTTTTTTCAGTACCTTCATCCTGTTTAAAATTTATTAATAGGCCGAGTTTTTATGTCGGATGATTCTTTGGACAGTTGACGGGCCTGTTGGTCTAGTGGTTAGTGGCCCTGACTGCTAATCCGGAGGTCGTGGGTTCGGAGCACGATCATTTGTTATACGTCTGAGTCTAATCTTAAATATAAAATTCTCGTGTTACAATGTTCGTTCCCGTACTCCTCCGAAACGGCTTGACCGATTCTCATGAAATTTTGTGTGCACATCGGGTAGGTCTGAGAATCGGCCAACATCTATTTTTCATACCCCTAAATGGTAAGGGTGACCCATCCCTATTTTTTTTTTGTTTTGCAATACAACGTTTGCCGGGTCAGCTAGTTTATCTATAAAATATATGTATTAAAACTATATAAGTATGTTTATCAGCAGTCTGGTTACCATAGTACAGGCTCTGCCTAGTTTGGGATCAGACGACCGTGTGTGAGATGTGCGAAGTTATTATTATAAGTTATTTATCCATCGCTCAATAACAGTATTTTTTTTTTATGGTTTTCCCCCAAACGAACAGACAGATCACCTTATGGTAAATGACACATACTTGAACTTCTGTATTCTTGAGTCACAAGTCCTTTGTCGACTTTTGAGTTCTTCCCCCAATAATCATGGGGGAATTACCGGTTACCTCACTCACTGATACTGAAGTGCTATTCTCTAAGGAAAGAGCCTTGCTTACAGCATTGCCACTCGAGCTTGATAATATTATCAGTAAACAAAATTTGATAATGTTTAGTTAAGCAGTTATGGTTTGAGAGTGTGACAAGCAAACTCACATTTATGTGTAACTAGCTGAGACCCGCGGTGTTACCCGCGTTTGTTGTTATAACCGCGGGCAACGCCGCGGGGCGAAGCTAGTCTAAAAAAAGTAGCCTAAGTTACTCCTTATGTCATCAGCTATTTGCCAGTGAAAGTCCCGTCGAAATCGGTCCAGCCGTTCCAGAGATTATCCGGAACAAACAGACAGACAAAAATTGTAAAAAATGTTATTTTGGCATATGTACCGTGTAAACATACATATGCAATTAGTAAAAAGCGGTTATTTTAATATTACAAACATACACTCCAATTTTATTTATTTGTATTGATTCGCTGAGATTAGCGCGTTCAACGTAATATTAGTATCGACTGCACGGATGGCGTAGTGGTTTAAGCGGTCGCCACGCCGCTTTCTACTACGCTAAGTATTGTGGGTTCGATCCCCACATAGGACGACACTTTGTGTGATCCACATATTGTTGTTCTGAGTCTAGGTGTTCTTTGTATCCATTTCATGTATGTTTGTAAAGTCCCCCGCGACACAGGAGGAAAAAAAGTATAGATAAATAAATAATAGACAGAATTGAACATTATTTACTTACTAGAAATATGGCTATTTATTCCAAACAAATTTAGAAACTTGGCAGACGTTGGTTATACAATTTTTGTTGCAAGCGCCAAGGGCTTGCGAGTCAATGACCGTTCTACCTAATCAGAGGTCCGTGTTCTTTGACATGTCTCAAGATTTTATTTTATACTAGCTGACCCGCGCAACTTCGTCTGCGTCTCTCAATAGTAATAAATTTTCTCCGTTTTTGAAACATTCTTCATTGGTGCTCCGCTCCTATTGCTCTTAGCGTGATGATATATAGCCTATAGCCTTTCTCGATAAATGGGCTATATAACACTGAAAGAATTTTTCAAATCGGACCAGTAGTTCCTGAGATTAGCGCGTTCAAACACACAAACAAACTCTTCAGCTTTATAATATTAGTATAGATATTTTATTTATTTTATTCAAATGTTTTAGTGATGAGTCATCATTCTTAGCTGCTCATATCTCTCTGTTCCTGTCTTTATAGTACTCACGTGACGTCATTAAAAATATAGTATATTTTCCGAGAAAATAATATTTGTTGAGTATCTCAACATACGTAAGCTGTTTATATTTAAAATTTGCTGTGCATCTGTGGTTTTGCTTCTGTAAACATAATTTTAATTGTTTTCGAAAATCATATTATAGATAAATTACACCTAGACACAGAAAAAATGATCGTGCTCATCGCGCAATTATTTGTTTTGAGTAGGCATCGACCTCTGTAGAAGCAGCCAGGGTCACTAACCCCTAGACGAACAGGGTTGTTTATTTGCTAACTACTAAATTTGCAAGAGAACTCAATATACGTGTTCTGACGTCTAGAATGGAATACAGACAACACTTAACTGGGTAACTGACGATAGACTATTTGGGTGCGTGCCAATTTCTAATCCGATTACGCTTTAAGAGTAGTTATGTCACTGACACGTAAGAGTATCGATAAATACATACGTGATAGATAAGAAAATAATTCTGAAGGTAACCTATAAAATTATGGTTATTTTTATATTCACGTACGTGATAAGATACATTCGACTTGAAGATTCACAGTCTATATGGACGCTGTATTCTTTTACTCTAATAATATTAGCTATAATCATTAACAGCCTTTAATAGTCCACTACTGGATATAAGACTCTCCTTAGAAAGGAAGTTTTGGCCTACTATATCACACTGAGGAGAGGGTTGGTACAGGGTTTGTTTTCCTTCTCTTTGCGGTCCTGCAAAGCTTGCTCCCGTAGTCGGCTCTTACGACACCCACGAATTGAATAGGGGTGGTGACAATCCGTATTCTTTTTTAAGTTACTACAAGTTACAATAAGTTCTTATTATTATTCTTGTGTGCAGGCAATGGCCCCAGCGGTATGGTGACATCATTCATGCTGGCCGGCAACGTACCATACCTCAAAGAAATACCAGATGACCTGCCCATAGATGAGATGCTCAAAGCCAGGTGAGAGGAATACTAATACCTTCGTTGGTCGTATTTATAGTATTTAAAACAAATACAGTTTTACTTAAGTGTGTTTTTCGGGGATGTTGAATTGTTTCGGATCTTATTGGGGCTCTTTATCAAGGAGCGAAGCGACCTGTCGCGGCGATGGAAGATAAAAAGAATACTGTTAATGTATTAGTCTTTTGTAAGACCAGTGTTTGCCTTATTTTTTTTTCTACAAAAATATCAATGTTTTTAACACCCGTAGACTATAGACCAAACTTTACTGGAATCTGTTAATTGAACTTGCATAGACTTTCTGTACTAAGACAAGTCAAAATACGCTGGATATGTTTGATATAGCCATTTTCAATTTTTTCTTATAGATATGCGACTTATGTTTTATTAAAATGTTAGATTTCGTCTCTTCTATAACTACATATTAATATTCCGAAGTGTACAGCACATAACTAGACAGTTATTATCCTAGACATCCAACAACAAAGTTAAAAGATTACCATCTAATACCAACAATAGACCACCAATACCAGCTAGGTTTTCATCACCACTTGTCGTAAAGTGAGTTTGAAGACGAACCCATCCAGAGCAATAACTGAACTTTAAAAACTCTCAAGCATCTCTGAAATAAAACTGCAGTGAAGTAGATATATCCTAAAAAAACTGGTTTTTCAGTAATAGAAAATACCACTCGCTTCAGTTTCAATAACATTTAAATTTCATTCAAAGAATTTACATCTTAATAGCTCCGCTATTGCGTCGTTCTCAAAACTTAGTATTGTGATATTAAGATTCAAAATACGTACAGGAAATTGGTCAGAAAAACCCAAGCACAGTTGCGTGCGTAATTATACATAGAGAAAGGAAAATATGCCTACTGTAATATAAAAGCTATGACAAGGACATAACGTCATTACCTATAGAATCAGGGCAGTTATATTCCGAATATAATAGGTCTTTACCTATGAAATTGCAGTTTTGTATGCAATAAGTGAAAGTACTTATTTTTTCAAACTTTTTTATTTCTGTTATTCGAAGTAATCACCCATGCAATCGACGCATCTTTGCCAACGCATTGGCAGTTTATTGATGCCCTTCTTGTAAAAATCAGCTGGACGGGAGGCAACAAACTCTTCAAAGGCATTTTGTACTGCCTCTCGGGAATTGAATTTTTTACCCACTAAAAAGTTGTCTAAATTTTGGAAAAGTAATAGTCGGTAGGTGCAAGGTCTGGTGAGTACCAAGCAACCAGCTTTGGTCAATCGGTCGTCCCCACTGCTCCTCCACGACAACGCGCGACTCCATACTGCGCAACAGACAGTCTCCAAGCTGCAAGAGGGTTGGAAGCTCTCCCTCATCCCCCATACTCACCAGACCTTGCACCTACCGACTATTACTTTTTCCAAAATTTAGACAACTTTTTAGTGGGTAAAAAATTCAATTCCCGAGAGGCAGTACAAAATGCCTTTGAAGAGTTTGTTGGTGCTGCAGATCGCTTCAAACCTTGATTAAAGATCCCTTTAGAACTCAAAATTTATCACGATTCTACTATAACATGTACGGGTACAACCATTTCTTTTTAATATATAAATACTTACGCCTGTGATTAAATATAATTTAGTCCTACGCGAGCATTTAGGGTATATTAAAGGGATATATAGATAAAAGAGGAAGGCAATTAAAGCAACGGAACGTTGTCTATATAATTTATTCCCTTGCCTGAGAGTTAATTACACGTTCAAATCTCCGGGGCATACATCCTTCGTACTATACATAGGTACATAGATCAAAATTCACCTCAATGTATGAAATTGTGATTAAAAATGAAGTCGAACGTCGAAAAAGTCCAGTTTTTGATTGCATTCATTTCTGTTTCGACAGACTATCAAACTTACCACAAGGACAGAGCCTATACGAAACAGACCTCACGGAGCTGGCTGAAGGGCTAGAAGGCAGAAGCCAAAACCCCATACCATTACTGGTGAGTCCCACATTTATTATACACACATACATAGTACATAGAGTGGCCTTACACCATTTCTAGGGCTTCTGATTTTGTTATAAAGCGATACCTAAAAGTCTGTCTGGGAAAAATCTCAAATTACATGTCAGGAAGAAAGAAACTGACATTTGATAAGTTATTATAAGCGGGCTATTTACCATATTTATTTTCGGTAGTAATTAGTTTCCAATATTTCGGAACTGTTGCAAGCGCCATGATCACGGATAAACTCCCGAAATAAACAAAGTTAATATCCCGTTTATAGTTTCTTATCAAGGTAAAATGATGGTAATTTAAATCAAAGAAAGAGTCAGTATATACTTCTGTCACTTTCGCTCTTCTTGAAGATTTTCTTGCTTATTTTCGACTAGCTGAGACCCGCGGTGTTACCCGTCTTTGTTGTTATAAAAGCGGGCAACGTCGCGGGGAGAAGCTAGTCTAAAAAAAGTAGCCTAAGTTACTTCTTATGTCATCAGCTATCTGCCAGTGGAAGTCCCGTCGAAATCAGTCTAACCGTTCCAGAGATTACCCGGAACAGACAGACAGACGGACAGACAGGCAAAAATTGTAAAAAATGTTATTTTGGCATATGTACCGTGTAAACATACATATGCATTTAAGAAAAAGCGGTTATTTTAATATTACAAACAGACGCTCCAATTTTATTTATCTGTGTAGATGTATAGAATAGATAAATTTCATTTTGAGTTAGTTTTCCCGCCCTCTCACGCCCGCCCCGAACAAGTAAACAGTCGTATTTAACACCTGTATTCTTATTATATGTATTATGAATGTCTATAAAAGAAGAAACTGACAGAATAATTCACTGACTGATCCTTAACGCACAGCTAAAATCGCTGGGTCTAAAAGCATAAAATTGTGCACAAACGTTCCTTAGGTGACGTAGGTGTGAATAAAGAAAGGACTTTTTTTTAATTCCATCCCTAAGAGTGCAAAATGGAGGTTGGAAATTTATATAAAACTTAGTTATTTTTGGTATAAGCGTTTTTAAAATCACGGTAATTACACTTAATTAAAAGGAATGAAAAACGTTGATACGAATTTTTCAAAACTAATCCAAAACAAGGATGCATGATTGGATACAATGGAATCCCAGACCAAAACGCGGACGAAGTCGTTGGCAAAATCTAGTAATTGAAAAAACGTCTTTACGTGTTTAGCATACGATCTCATTCATTAACGACATCACCATCATCAACAGCCTTTAACAGTCCACTGCTGGACATAGGCCTCTCCTTAGAAAGAAGGTTTTGGCCTACTATACCACGCTGGCCAGACGGGTTGGTATAGGGATTGTATCAAGTTTTCCTTCTTTTTGCAGTGCTGGTGTCCTGCGTTGTTTTGCGCCCTTAGTCGGCTCTTACGACACCCACGGGATGAATTGGGGTAGTGACATTCCGTATTCTTAATCCGTCACTACACGGACATTCATTAACGAATTGTTTGCCGTCACTTTAACTATCTGTGGTTGATTTACACATACTTTTATTGATATTGTGAGTTGACAATATGGTGAATTTACAAAAACCCGCGAAAATATTGTTATCTATGTGGCTCTGGTAAATGACAAGACAGGTAATGGATATCGTAATAAACTAGACTATAATATATATATACTATATAAGACTATATACTATATATACGGCTAGACTATATAAGACTATAATTCTTTATCAATCTATATATTATTATATTAACAAATTAAGTGGCTTTTGGGTACGCTTTAAAAACCCAAAAAGTTCTGCCCCGATTGAACCGCACGAATGGCGTAGTGGTTTAGGCGGTCGCCACGCTTACTACTGCGCTGAGTGTTGTGGGTCCGATCCCCACATGGGATAACACTTTGTGTGATCCACAAATTGTTGTTCTGAGTCTGTGTGTTCTTGGTGTCATGTATGTTTGTGGGGTACCCCGCGACACAGGATATTTTCCTAGAAAAAACCTCAAATTTTGACACGATATATTGTATTTTTTCTATTTTACGTGTCACAATGTACCATAGCGAAGCTTTGCAAGGCAGCTGGTTGTGATATAAAATCTTTCTTCAAGTAAATAACTCCTTGTGCTTGATAAGATTATCTTAGAAATTGTAATAAAAGTAGTGTATAAGTGCCCATATTTAAATGTATCGTATAATTTATTGAAATGTAACTACACGTCCGTGTTTAGGTATTCAGCGATAAGGCACTATCGAGGTGAGGTCAGGTTTGACAACTACTGATAAACTTTGGTGTATTGTTCCTATATTGCTTTTTTAGCTGATATTACCTTTTTCCGTTATTCTGTGATAGGTTAATGAAATTTGACGCCACGGATTCGAACCCTAACTCCCCAAATATTACTTTGTTTTTTTTTTCGATCGATACGAACGGGTACATCACTAGTGAGTATGTTCAGTTGTAATCGACGACCGGATGGCGTAGTGGTTTGTGTAACGGACTGCTATTCCAAAGGTCGCGGGTTCGATTCCCGCTCAAGTCAAACATTTGTGTGCATGAACATTTGATGTTTGATTTGGTATGGGTGTTTCTATGTATAATATGTATGTATTTAAAAAAAAAAGTATATATGTATTTATATACGTTGTCTAGTACCCATAGTACAAGCTATGCTTAGTTTGGGACTAGATGGCGTTGTGTGAATGTGGTAGAATATTATTATTATTATATTATTATAATCGATTCGCTCCAATACAGCACTGGTCGTGACCCTGGTCTCATAACGCCGTTCAAGGGTTTCACTAAATCTTTACGCTTATACATATCTTAATATAAACTATGTTTAGACTATGCACTTAAATACCAAAGCTACTGTGTAGCATTAAAAAAATCTTATAATGTTGCTAGTAAAAAAATCCGTGTGGTGACGGATTATGAATACGGAATGTCATCACCCCTGTTCATCCCCTGGGTGTCGTAAAAGCCGACTAAAGAAACAAACTACGCAGGACAAAAGCACTGCAAAGAGAAGGAAAACTTGAAACAAACCCTATACCAACCCGTCTGGCCAGCGTGGTATAGTAGGCCAAAATCTCCTTTCTAAGGAGAGACCTATGTCCAGCAGTGGATTATTAAAGGCTGTTGATGCGATGATGTGGTGATGAGTAAAAAAATATATGCCATAATCATGCAGCTTCGGTTAGGTTAGGTTAGTTATTGCCTTAAATGGAAGGTGAAAAATATGGCTCAAGTACAATAGTTAAATAAATCGGTAAGTAGCCTGCGTCGTGACCATGAAAATCCATGTTTTATGGCTTGACAATATTGAACGTGTAATAAAACGATATTGCTAGATATAAAAAAGCCGTGTGGTGTCGTGGGACACCCGATAGGAACGAAGTTGTTACGATCGAGTAAAACTGATTAGACACGATTTTAATTACAACGCCATCTATGAAAGCGGCTATTACCTACATATTTTTCAGTTGGTTTCTAATTAAAACAATTTATACATGAGTAAAATCTCCTTGAGAAATGATGTCGAATACAATATTTTTTGCTCAACCTAAGAACATAAATTTTAATTTTACTATTCGATAGATGGCGCTGAATGACATGAATGGCTGACAAGTGACAATTCAAAATAAAAAGTGTCGTGACCAATTTTCGTAAGATTTTTTTCCGTCTAGCCCCCTTTCACAACGCGCGATAAGGAACTTCGTTCCAATTGCATAATGTACACTGCATTTTGATGTAACAATTCTTTACACAGGATATTACGTAGGAAAATATTACAGATATTATTATAAACGGTAATATTTCTCGGGGGACTTCCATCCGGTTCGACTGCGGTGATATCACAGTAAACCAGTGTCAAGTATACAAGTAATTACGTAACGCCAGTTTTTTGTAAGGCCGTGATTTTATTGTCATGAATTATACACCTCAACCTTTCTCAGGAATTACAGTATCTATTGACGAAAACCGTACAAAAATCCGTTTGGGAGTTTTTGAGTTTATCGCGTTTATACAAACAGACAGACGCGGCCGGTACTTCATTTTATAAAATGTAAGGATTATATATCGACACCTTCAACAATTTGTGTTGTATTTTGATATAAAACCTGAATGTATGAATGAATTCTTTTTTTTAATACAACACCCGCGTTAGGAATGTATCCTATGTCGCGGAGACTTAACAAACTTACATGAAACGGACACAAAGAACACCCAGACTCAGAACAACAATTTGTAGATCACACAAAGTGTCGTCCCATGTGGGGATCGGACCCACAACACTCAGCGCAGTAGTGAGCGGCGTGGCGACTGCTTAAACCACTACGCCATCCGTGCAGTCAATCAATTACTTTGTGTTGTTGAAAAAAAATTATAAATCCCTTCTAGACTGTTTTATCTTGATCTCTTTTAGATAGACGGGGCAAGGTTCTTTATTTTATATTACATATTGTTTTGACACCACCTTGTACAAGCTGATTGTAAAGACACACTCCGAAGCCTTTCAAAACATAGAGTATTTTAATATCAATGAAATTAAATATTTGATTAACAATGCGTGGGAAATATGATACCCGTATATTGATATTTTTAAACATACGCTGACAAAGCATTATGTATTCGTTAATAATATAAAAGCATTGGACGAATTATTAAATATTTTGATACTTTCAGAATATGTTTTTCTTTACTTCTTTACTTTCTTCTTCTTTACTTTCAGAAAATTCGTCGTTTGAATATCAACATTTTTTTACGGGTGGAAACCCCCAGCCTTTAATAGTCCACTGCTGGACATAGACCTCTCCTTAGAAAGGAGGTTTTGGCCTACTATACCACGCTGGCCAGACGAATTTGTATAGGGTTTGTGTCAAGTTTTACTCCTCTGTGGAGTGGTGTTGTCCTGCGTAGTTTGCTGCCTTAGCCGTCTCTTACGACACCCATTGAATGAATAAGGGTGGTGACACTCCGTAATTTTAATTCGTCACCACACGGACTATGGCGTTT